ATATATGTATGCCTTAACTAGCTCCGCTGATGACAAAGTCTGTTTATCCCCACCAAGCATCTGCCGTCTCAAGCAATGCCTCTCCACGGTCCGTTACCACCAGTTTATCTCTCGTGAGCACCTGTTCACCGGAACGTGTGTAACCACTGACTTGCTTTTTATACCAGATGCACGTACCTAGTGTACTCGCTCTTCAGCAGCAGCACGAACGCTTGCATACGGGTATGCAGCAATTCAGCTTTCGTGTTTGATAGTTCGGATGATTTTTCTGTACACAGTTAGTATCATTGTTTAGGTTCCTGATGCGAAACCACGAGTTACGCGTAGGTTTGACGATCACGAATATCAAAACGAAAATTTGGGTTCGAAGGCCTACGGTACATTTACACAAAAGTGAGCAGACTTATGCAGCAAACCTCGGTTGTTCATGTTCCTGGGTTCAACAAGTGCGCAAGTAGGTCACTGCCCGTCGCAGTGCGGTGTTAAGGTCCCTGTACCAGACAACGGCGAGCGGAATGCTGGCTCGGTAGTGTTGGTTGAGGTCGTCCCCTTCGATGGCATTAGCGTGGCGGTGTGACCATCGTTACAGAGCCGGTCAGGACAGGCTTAGCGGACGGAGCACGAACACGCATGGTTAAGTATGACAGCTTTGTACATTCACACACACGCACGCTTGCTAGTATGCCGTTGACGAACAGGATGACCTTTGCGGCAAGGTGAATGGTGGATGAGCGAAACAAAAGTAAATGGACAGAGTAAGTAAATGAATGAGGGAAGTATGGTATCAAGTAAGATCCAACATTCGTTTCATCGCTTAACTACAGTCCGACCGTCTGAGATATGATGAGAATGGTCGCAGTAACCTGGTTTGAAATTATCAGTGAAAGCACACCATCTACTGTGACAAGATCGCAGGCCATCATTGAAGTAGTTGAGTTAAGTAAAAGACAGATACATAGTTGGATCTCTGTAGGAACTTGCTATTCATCTTCCCCAACATTTTAACGGTAAACAGCGAACAGTATCGTTTGTGGGGCTGTACTGGTAGATCATAAACTGTTCCCCTGTATGAAAACCATAAAAAGGTAAATGTGGCATAATCCAGACGTAATACACTACTCATAAGGTTGCTGAAAACTCCCCAAACGTTATAAACGAGAGATTCAGCTGGGTTCTTGATGGGTCTCCGGTGAAAACTTACTTGGTATGCAGATGGGTGCATTATTTAAATGTGCTGTCCTCTGTGTCTGGATCTTCCCACCTCTTATCAATGGCATTCTCTCATGAACGGTTTGTTGGCTTTTAGTCATGGTTTCATGCGTAATTTTCCCTCCCTCCTATCTGTAGGTTTTCTGGCTTACCGGGAGCTCACAGGTTCTATTATTTTATTGTATCACACCCGTCTTTTGTTATGCTATATACCTTTATTGTATACAACTCCTGGTAGTCTAGCTATGGATTCGATTTCCCGTAGTTGGTGTCACCTAGGTTGCTTACTCCTTGGGTGCGTCAGCTTTGTGAGGAAAAAAACTGGCTTTTACCTAGGACGTCAGTCTTTGAATCATGCTTTCAATTTAAAACAGTTGCCAGAACAACATCATTCCTCCCGGCGGTCAACATTAGTCTTTTTCTTGATTTAAGGCTTGTTTTGACTTTAGCTTTTTCTTGATTTAAGGACTGCTATTGACTTCAGAACCTGTGGCGGTGGCAGGCGGTCAATGACATCTCTTTTAAAGAGTTGTCTCATAGAAGCCGTGCACATCGACTCCTGCAGTTGTGTCCACGTGCTCACTGCAAGCCACATCACCACATCAAGTGCTGTTGCTCAAGGTAGTCTTCTCTCACTACCTTTCATTCTTTTGAAGGCTCTTCCCTTCAGGGGTCGAACTGCTCCCATATCGTCCTTCCATAGGCCTCATACGCAGAATATACCGTATTTATTGGGTCCAGGCACTTCAGTACTGCATTTACCTCAGATTATCTGTGTCCCCACCTCATATGTTGCTGCCAATGAGTATGTATAGAGAGCAATTCTGCCACGTGGTTAGTATGCGGTCTCTCCCTGCAAAGCGTAAGTTGTCGCTGCAGGACTGAGTGAATTCAAGCAGAATCCCGTTGATTTTCAGCTTACCTGGGGTTATTCTAATTATGCCAAGTTGCATTCTCACTCAAGCCAACGATTTACTGAACGGTAGACACTCATCTGCTCTGAAGAAATGATCAGTGATTGACCCTTTGTAAAGTCCCAGTGTCTTATTTGTGGAGTTATGTGTTGAAGTCTATTCAATGCAGCGCCCGGGTATTCAGTTAGTTCCAGTTATAGGACAGCTCAACAAAGCAGACCTTAGGCTTTTCGTCATGATCAATTGATCTATTGGACAAGTGGACAACCCTACACCCTCGTTTGTCTTCCCATCGAGCAACACTGTCATGTGATCCGGCGCACCAGTGATAAGCATTCTGGTAACTTCAAAGGCTTTACGTATGACTCTTAAGGTCTCAGGTCGAGATAGCTCACTGGTTGGTCTGTGATGGTCCGTGAATCGAACCCGGCCCGGCATCTCCACTGCTTCTATCTAGGCCTTGACAGTGCGTCGGCCATCGTGCTTCCTTCGGGTTGCATATCAGCCGTGCACTGGAAGGATGTTACAGCTGAAGCATTATTACCCAGGATCCGTATGACGTTCTCGTTTTCTTCCCTCTTTCTCTCCAGACGTTCCGTACTCCTGCCGTGTTTTCGGTCATCCTCATAATCTTCCACATCATTACCGGTATTTCTGAGTTTGTTGGAATCAACGCCGTGACCAACATGTTCCTGGTCCCATTCTATCTTGCCCTGGTTACATTAATGACGTGGATGTTCCTCAGTTATACCGGTCGAGCCCCGGAATTGGCTCAGGCGATCGATTCAGCCGCGGATGTTGTGGTACAGAAGGTGAGTTGTCGCTTGTTTTCCCAGTCGAATTGTCTCTACGGTCTGCTTTTGCAGCTGGTTTGAATATGGAGATTCCCCAGGCGCTTCCAATTTAAAAGCATCGTGTCTTACTTTGGGTTTTTACATATCTTGTCAGGGTAGATGCCCAGACATATTTCGTATAAGATTTACTCTTTGTTAAGGCCATTCCTGTGTGCTCTCTCTTCGAGCTCGAGGTAGCCCGGTGATTAGGACGCGAACATGCTGATCCGGAGACCCGTAGTTCGATCCCCATCTCTCCACTTTGAGTGCACCCGTCTAGGCTTGGACAACCTAACAGTATTCCTGCCGTGATGTTTGCTCTGGGTGGCATGGCAGCTGGAAACCGAAAGGGGTTCAAAACTGAACGATAATAATAATACTTTCACTAAATTTTTAGTCAATCAGTCCGAAGATTCCATTGTGAGCTTAAATACAGGAATTTTCCACCCACCCATATCTTGTCTTATCGATACATCTGTAATTCTGTGAGATTTGATTTGATTGTGTATTTGAACTGACATTGGTTTTTGTTTCAGATGTCATCCTAACTAATAATAAGAATCTTTCCATTTTTGCGTATCGCTAGTGTCGAACGTAGATGCCCTGTTTTCGTAAAGCCATAACGGTTTGTCTAAAGAAATTCGTTGTACAGGCGGCAAGTGGCATATGACGTAGTTTCTAACCCACTCCCATCACAATAACGAAACTGAATTCGATTAGCAACCGTTTGCCATATTGTTCGACCCAACGCGTGGAGTGTCACATGAACCAAGATGGTACCCATACTCTTGGTAATCTTATTGTCCCCCTTATGCTAAATTACATGGTTTGCTATTGGCGAGAATGTTTGTAGCTCAGGTAGCCTAGTTGATCATTGGTTTCTTCGCTGAGCTAGACATTTTGAGTGCGTTTTTGGGTAGCGCAGCGTATCGATGGGTCAGTTGTTGCGACTACTGGACGCACGCCTCGATTAGTGATGGAACTTTTGCGCTCAATTTGCCCAGCTCAGCGATCAGACAAACGACCAAATTATATGGGATCAAATCCCTGTTTTGTACTTACTGTGACTTGCTGATATTGGTGCAAGTTCTTGGCTTAGTGTCCGCTCACCATGATATATCAAAATGCATGGTAGCTTGAGAAAGCCCTTTATCGATACGAAGTAAGACTATTACGACTGTAATTATGAGGTCATCACAGAATGTCGCGCTAGAAAGTTCTTGATGGTGCAAGAAGCGCCGAGCTATAATGGTCGATCCTGATTGGCTGACATTCTCATCAATCGCGGCATGGCTTCGGTTAGTCCTTAGCCCGCACGTGACACATCCGTCCAATCGATGTGCTTTCGATTATTAAGAGCGGCTGGCCTCCAGACGGTGCCACACCATATTTCTTGATAGTTGATAACTTGATAGTTCACTTTGTTTCTTCAACCATAAGCATTCTGCAGCTTGGATTATTAAAGTGTTTAGCTCTTGATAACCTAAGGCGAAGAGCGACGAGGCTACTTCACTTCACAGATGCAGTTCTTCAGTTATCATCCACTATGTTCTATCCACTGACAAGTCCACTGATAACCCCGTATTTACGTATCAATTGTATCAGCTACCGCCTCCAATGCGCAGCTGTCTACCCCACCCTCCTCCCCCCCAAAGCATCGATGAACGAAACTCCGGCATTTAAAACCACTGTGCGGTTGTTACAGCTGATTATGATGATGCTTTGGAGCAGCGGAATAACTTTTTTCATTAGTCCGTCCTTCTACTCTGTCTGTGTAATGCATACGGAGCTTCTGGAAACTTTCTGTTATGCTTACATTCTGTAAAAAATTCCTTACCTGTGCATTTATTTTAAATCCGTTTCGAAGAGAATCCCAAGAGTGTTCGCATTTACGCACTATCCTCAGTGGATTCACCCTTCACTTAATCTAACACCTTGTCGATTTTTTCGCTTAATAATAGTCAGAGACTAATCAATATTCCTTCCCCCCTTTTCAGGTTGTCACCCCAGCCATTCAACATATTGGTCAGCGTAGTGTGCAACAACTTGTGGGTACAGAAAGACCAATTCGAGAGAGAAGCTAGTGTTTCCTCGGCCGTGTCGCCTCATTCTTGATAGTCGTTCGACTGCATTCTTTCTTCTGATCGTGTCTCATTTTCCGTAGCTCCCCTCTCTCATTATGCACGCCCCCTCGGGGCAATGCGTGCACTTTAAACGACCAGGTTCCCCCGTCGCACACTGACACACACACGGAGGCCGCACACCTATACACTGGACTATTGGTTTCCGGTTTGAGCTACCTTATCTTTCTTTGTCGACTTCAGACCAGTGAATACTATCAGGCTGCCTCTCCCAAGTACCACTTCCGTATTCTATTCTACGCCGATTGTTGATTTATTGTACATAGAACGGCTTATCCCCGAAACCAATTCGTACTTTGTCTTGAGCGTCAAACCAAATGCATCAATACGTACTACATAGATCAGTCTGCTGTTTTTTTCGTCCAAATGTTCGACGGACATTCATGTTTTGAAAATGGATGGGAGAAAGTTGGAGTAATGGTCGGTTTTCCGCCAAGTGTGTGCAAATATCATCCACTGCGTGTGAGAATTGGTTTCAACCAACTGGTCACTCATGCAGGATATAAACGAATAAGGCAGAATCCTTCATGTAAATAGTCATTGGTCCTTGCGGAGCAACTTGTGAGCTCGGGAATTAGGCGGAGGTTTATGCAAAGACTGGTTAGATTCGGAAAGCATGGTATACAGAGAATCTTTCTTCCCTATTGAGTTTCCTCAGTTAGGCGTAGAGGGCTCGACCAAGTGTTCCTTTGGTTCAAACGGAATCGTCGTTTGTCCCGCTAAAGCCGTCACATGATATAATAATCATTGATTATCGGTGCCTAGCTCCCATGCCACCCGAAGCAAGCATGAGGGCTGATATACTATCAGGCTGTCGAAATCCAGGCAGGAGCAGTTGAGATGCGGGATTAGATTCGAAACGCAGACCTTCCGATCCAGTAAGTCCTCGCCTTAACCACTGGGATACCTCGAGCTCTAAAACCGGCATAAGTTCGAAACTATGTCACTGATCCATTTTCACGGCATTGCTGTGATGTTGTGGAACTATAAGACTTATATGTGCTTTAGGTTATTGCCTCTTTTCGGACATCCTGCCCAGAACATTCCCAGAAAAGTTATCCATTATCGGCTGTCAGCTGCCACAAGATTTGCTTGTTCTGAAGTACGTACGGGGGAAATCTTGAGCCAACAAAACGATCATGGTGGTTCAGTTTGGAAGAGAAATCCTTGAATGGATTATATCGTTCCAGGTTTTTTGTCGGGTCCTCTTCAAACAGAGTGTTCCTATGTAGGGTAAACGCAATGAAGAATCAGCCCAATGTGCAACGAGGGTCGCTTCCGTCTAGCCGTGATTTGAGTATACTGTTCAGTCGGCTGAACGGTTAGAGAACAGCAACGTCGAAAAGTGTGACGTTGAGTCAGCAGTGACCATCGAACGATTCCAACCCTGCACCAAATACAGGCAGTTGCAATCATCCTTGCTCTCTAGTTTCAATACACCCAGTGTTGTGTCGTGGTTAGCCTCGAATGATTAGTCAGAACTATGATATGCCCCACTTTTATACCATTCAAGGGACAGTATCGCATAAAACAACTTCAGGTATGCACATTTTACATTTTATTGTGTTATCCCAGCAAGTGAGAGTGAACACTAACTAATCATATGACCAGGGGTAGGATATGGTGCGGCAATGTTGGTATGCTTTGTTATGACATTCGCCAGCATATTTCCATAGCCTAAGGCGCAGCGGGGAAGACACTGAAGTGCAGCATTTACGAAATGGTTTCGTGTGAAACACTGCTGGCGGAATGGCCTTCAGGAGAGACTGTGTAGGGCAACGCATCCGGTGCTGTCAGAGAAGATGAATAGGGCAGGTCCCATTGAAATCACACCATGGCAGCAGGAACCAGTTAATTAAAGTATAGCAAGCAGGTACTCCTGTTACTGCCAATGTGGATGCTGAGTGCGTTCGATTGGGTATGCCGAATCAGGGGGTGAACAAAATCAAACATGGTTCGCGTGGTTCATAGATGCTCAAATGATTAACCAACCAAATCCGGATACTTTGATGAGAGTGTTTCAGATTCATTCATGATCAGGATCATCAAAGTCCAATATTACGTTGGCATCAAATTTCAATGGGTCTCTCCATATTGTCCAGTTGGATGTGAGCATGTGAAAAACATAGTACTGGACGAGATTTGCCTGACGAGCCCTCAGAGAATGGAACGAGCAATCGGTTGTTGAAGAGCTGTATCATGAAAGTTCGAACCCCCGTTTGAGAGCATTCTTCTCCCCAGAGTAAATGATCGAATACTGCGCGTTATCCCGTCTTTCAGTTATGTTACCTTCAGTCTATAATACCACTGTTTAACTCGCTTCAAAAGGGATGTTCCACGTTGAAATAATGCCAAGCGATCCCTCCATTGTTATCAGAGTGTGAACTAACGGTGCTATAGTATGGCGCATGAACATCCTAAATATGTCTCGGCGACAGGGTTTTTTCGTAGACTTCAAGGGCACAATCTACCCAAACGAGAGGTGGAAAACGCTTCGCCACAAATATCTGTTACCCAACGAATGCGTAGGACAACAGAAGCCTGTTGAGCACTCTATCAGCGGTAGATGAACCAGTGATAGTGACAGACACAAGCCCAGAAAGCAGCTATCCTTTCGCCTAAGACGCATCACATTCGACCAAGTTGTCCGCGCTAAGCCACCCACCACTGGCCCATCTGTAGTGGAGTTCATCATCATCGTCAGCTGTAATAACCACGCACCTGTCGTACAGTGGTTGTAACTGCCACAGTTTCGTCCACCGATGATTTGGGGGAGGTAGCTGCGCATTGGAAGCGAGAGCTGATAAATTGGTGCGTAAACACAGCACTGTAGGTGAACTGCTAAGTGGGGGGATTGGGAAGTAAGTTATACATTGAAGGCAATAGCTTGGATGCACAGGCGCCATTGAGGGCGCCACTAGGCCATGTCTGACAATTTCTCTAACCTCATTTCGGGATCCCAATGACTAGCGCAGCTGAGTTTGCTGCTAATGGCTTTTATACTGCACTGCCAAGTCATTGTTTTACCCCTTCCGGCTCTCTCCCACCCTTCACGTGGAGTTAACTTCCTGTGAAAGTATTTTTTCTGTCCCCCGTTTGTATTACACTACTGCCTGCCATAAGCTGCGGTGACCCTAGCCACCTTTACGTACATGGTGAAACTAAACTGAACCATTTATCCTACAACGAGGCACATTCGTTTCACATGCCTCGATGTTGACTAATTCCTCGAAAATCGACTTGTATGCCATGGATTGTTATTCTTCTTAGATTTATTACATTACTGCTACTCTGAGGAACAGCATCTGAGAGTAGCCGTCCAGTTTCTCATTTCGAAGTATAGATCAAGTGGAGAGTATAAGAACCAAAGCAATCCGGAATCAAACCGAATGTTGAAAATGGCCGGGGGGCACCAATGACTATACCGACCTGTTCGCACCAAATTAGTCTTTCCTTTGCCACGTTGATATTTCAGGGAAACGAAAACAAGAATGGGAACAGACGCACTGTCTATTGGACTGTATAAGCAATAGTTTTAGAATCATCACTGAAAATTCCACACATTAGTTATTCTGCTGATGACTTGCCTCGAACCATAGATAAAAATGTCCGTTCTCCGGTGTATAATTGAACGTCCCAACACATATGCCCAGTTAGACACGAACTGTTAATTCAAGTAAATTAAGATTGACAGAAATCTGCCTAGCAATTAATAACCAAAAAAATTGGTAAAAGAGACTACTCACAAGGTTGCTGAAAACTCTTCGACAGCCCGCGACCGGTTTCGCCCTTCTGCTTCGGGCTCATCAGGTAGGCGCACTCCCCGAGTTTCCGTCAAACTTATGATCTACTTGAACCCAAATTGCACTGTTTTCGAGAAATACACTCATTGGTAAATCCATCATGGAAATATACTGCGACATCTCGAATATCGTGTTGACTGAAACATGAGGTGGCCTGTGTGCAGCACATTCAGTTGTAGAATATCACAAACAAGAGATGCAGTTGAGTCTCTCGTGAAAACCAAACTGATTTGCAAATGAGTGTATTGCTAGAAAAATTGGTAGTTTACTAACTACTTTGTCAAACGGAAAAATTGAAGTTTTATCTGTTCAACATAGGTTATTTTGTCAGTGGATAAGACGTTGACTTTTTGTGCATACCAGCAACATGGCCAACAATAGTCAATATCAAAATACAAGCAGTCTTAGGATGTAATGGGGCATGAATCGCTCCTGTCATTTATTTGATTGCGTAAACATTTTATACGGTATTGGTCTTCATGTAGACAGTTATTCGAAACCAAATTCTATGCCTGTCCGATGTGCTTGGGACAACCGGTAGGAGCCGATTTTATGCTACGAGCAACGTCAATCATTCGGCAATATTCACAGTATGATTCCGTTGAAAAATGTTGTAAAAACAACCTTAATGTATTCAAATTTATGCCGCCTCCGGCCGACAGCTCTCCCTCCTGTTCTGATGGAATTAAGCTGGTGAGCCAACACTAACGAAAGAAAGTTGTGGACTCGCGTTTTGCTCTTATTAGAGCTCATCAGTAGTGCAGTAGTGGTGGGAATTCAACCCCCCGACGGCTGACGTGCAACGCAGTTATGTTACTACTGCTCTACCAGTCACATCTAAGAGACAGCACGCTTGCCTATTCACTCGTGATAGTTCATTTACGCCTAGTATGCACCACTGGAGCAGAGCAACACGTTTAAAATCAGCGCAGAACAAAATTGTCAGACGAAACGATTATCAGTTCTCCATGACAAGTGTCGATTAATGCAAGACTGACTAGTTTTTCTGCAATTTGGACCTCTTTGAGGTATGAAGGCAGGCGTTCTTATCCGGGCCCTTGAACCCTTAGTTCACCGTAATGAATCTTTGTTCCGGACTTGATGATATATGGGTCCGACTAGCAGCTGGCAAATTTGGTGTTCTCTTCTGCTTCGCTGAGAGATTTCGTGCGAGAGCAACACTATCGTGGAGGAGCCATCAGTGAACCCAGTCGACTGTTACGGAAAACGTTGAGCAAATTGTGAGACTTGTTTAACAGCATCCCTATTGTGTTTTGGTTGCTTCAGCTCGGTACATTTGGCTTCATTGTGAAGTTGAAGTGGGTTCAACTTAGTAGAGTGAACTGTCAACAACTGGTGTGAGTTTGCTTCGTTTTCGCTTTGGGTGCTACTGCAAAAAATCGCTTTATAGATGTTGTAGCTACCAGTCACCCACATACTTGACTGTTCAGTTCACAGTCGCTCACTGGATCACGAGACTTGTCTTTTTTCATACTCAAACCACGTCACATTAAGCTGACTC